GTATGGGCTCTGGGCTGGGGTGCAGGCTCTGGGGTGGGGCCAGGTATGAGGGGTTCAGGGTATGGGGGTCTCTGGGTTGGGGGTGAGAGCTCTGGGGTGGGCTGAGGATTTGGGGTGCAGGGGGCCTCAGGAGGCTCCATGGCGTGCGCTGCTCTCACCTGCAGGCACCGCCCCCCCAGCTCCAGTGCGGAGCCAGTGCCCAGGCAGCGTGCGGAGCTCCGTGGCCCCTCCGCCTAGGAGCCGGACCTGTTGGCCACTTCTTAGGCGCAGGGCGGTGCCCCAGAACAGGTAGGGACTAGCCTGCCTTCCCCCTCAGCACTGCCGACTGGGCTTTTCATGGCCTGGTCGGCGGTGCTGACCGGTGCCGCCAGGGTCCCTTTTCAACCAGACACCTGATCACCCCACCCAGCAGTTGTGCCTCTGCCCTGCAGGCCTGCAGCATTTCCTCCTTAGCCTGCACTTCATCACATCCTTCTGGGACCTGCAACAATCTGTCCCTTGTCATCCCTGTGGAGCCCTGGTAGCACTGAGCCACCCACCAGCGCTGCCCGGGGACCTTTGCAACGGCATTGCCCCAGATGGCTCCGCAGGAGTGGGGTAGCACCCGACAGGCATGTTAATCTGAATGAAGATTCAAGCAGAGAGCAGCTGTCCGCCAGCCTATGTGCATGTGCACATGGACATGTGTGTGTGTGCGGGTGTGTGCACATGCGTGTGTGTGTGCATGCAAACTTTTGACATGTCAATGCTTTGAAGCCGCAGTGGCTGGCAGCGGAGGCCCTGCCTGGATGGCTGGTCACCGGCTGCATGTCACTGCCTCTGGCCAGGGCCTGTTGGGACTGGGGGCCGTCAGGGTGAGCGGGGGGGGCGGGGTCTGGTCCGTGGGTTGCTATTGACGCTGGGTTGTTAGGACAGCAGCACAGGGCAGGTGGCAGAGATGGTGCAGGAGGGTCAATAGCCAGTGGCAGTGAGCAGGGCCGGCTCCAGCATTTCTGCTGCCCCAAGACAAAAAAAAAAAAGTTCAGTGGCGGGTCCTTCGCTCCTAGAGGGAGCGAGGGACCTGCCGCCCCCGAATTGCCACAGATGCCGCCCCTCTCCCTTGGCCGCCCCAAGCACTTGCTTGTTAAGCTGGTGCCTGGAGCCGGCCCTGGCAGTGAGTCTGGGCTTGCCCCCAGCCACGATTTCTCCACGGGCTGTTCTGATTTCGCTGGCCCCACCCGTGCCCTGGAGAGTCATGACACCCCTCTGGCGATGCAGCAGCCAGTCAGTGACGGGGCAGCCTCGGGGGGCTGTGAGCTCTCTGAGACGCCAGTCCCTTCTAGCCTGCTGGGAGTGCAGGCCGTGTGCTGGAGGCCAGAGCTCTAGGTGCTCCCGGCCTGGGCTCGCTCTGCAGGCTCCAGCCCTTGGTGGCTGGGCTCCGGGGCACGCCCAGGTACTGAGTACAGCAGCCAGCTCTCCTCGGACTGCCAGGTGCTGCGAGCCAGGCTCAGTGACAAGCCCAGCTCAGCCCTAGGGGCCGTGCAGTGCAGGGGTAACAGTGGCACAGCCCCTGGGTGTGCTCCTCAAGCCACTACCCTGTGTCCTGCCAGCAACAGGCTTCAGCCCTGGCTCTGGGGCTGCCCACTGGCCAGCCAGCTTCCTGGATGCCGGGTGCCCTCGGAGGTGATGGAGCCTCCTGCTGGCGTGATGCTGGGCTGCCCAGAAGCCAGTAGGACACATCGGGATCATACACCTCTGTTGCACCCTGGCCTCACCCAGGGCTACCCCAGCCAGGGGGTGAGATGTGCCCTCTGCCCTGCCCTGCGAGCCATGGGAGGAAGGGAGAGCGCTGCTGCGGGCAGGAGGCAGTTTCAGGAGGGGCAGGCGTTAGCTGGCAGCAGGCGGGCGCTCGTCCCAGGGGAAGGTGGAGGGGGTGCCAGGCAGTAGTGTAGCTAGTGGGGTGCAGGGGAAGCAGCTGCTTCCCCTTAGCACATTTTCCAAAAGTGGAGCCCACACTCCGCTCTGAAGCTTGGTCTGTCCAGCGGTGCTGGGCTCCTGTAGGCAAGGGAGGGCAGCACGCCGGGAGGACCATGGGGAGGGGGCGGCACGGCCGGAGGAGCGAGGGGGGCGCAGCATGGCGGCCCGCAACTCCCCCCCTGCAGACAACTTTGATGCACTGACCAGGTCCCGGGGCGCCCCCGGGGCAGGGAGGGTCTCTGCCACCTCTTTGCGGCAGCCACACCGGGCGGACCCACGGCCGGTCACTCCCAGTAGGAGCCTCGGCGCCGCCCTCGGCTCACCGGAATAAAGCTCCCCCGAGGAGGGGAGAGCGCTTCCCCGCTCCCGCCGCGGCCTGTCAGCGCGACCCGCCCACAGCCAGGCTCCGCCAACAGCCCCAGGCAGGGCAGCACCCCCGGGCTGAGCGGGTGAGCCGGGCTGCAGCTCACTCGGACCGCGCCTGGCGGGGCTCGCTGCCAAGGGGTAGCGCCTGGCTGAGCCTGGCACTCCCATCCCCGGTAACCCCTCCCCAAGCTCCATATCCCGTGTACCCCTCCCATGTACCCCATGCCCCTGCCTTTCCCTCCCCTAC